GTGCTTAATTTAATTTTTTAAAGTTTTGACTTAGTTTGTTGTAATATTTTATTCATTTTTAACTTATTTTATTTATTTTTTATAATTATGGTTCTGGTGTTTTAACAGTAGATAATTTATAGAATACAGCTTCTGTTAACAGTAGATACTTAATACGTAATATGTAAAACATCAAGTATAGGTCAAAATTTAAAATCCATTAAAAAAAATTAAAATTACGGTAGAACAAGTTTTAAAAATTCAAAATAAAATGATCAAATGCATAATAAAAAAAACTTCCAAGTTTTTTTGGTTTTGTATTTGAATAAAAATGTGAGTGTTCTAAGCATTTATTTTTTGGCTCTAACTTATTTTTTTCCTCTTTAAAACTTATTTAGATTTTAATATCTTTATGTGTGTTGATTTAATCAGTTACTGTTGTATGCAACCCTTGTAATTAAGAAAAATATGGCAATAATTTGCCGACCTCAATCTTTTAGAGGTCAGCAAAAAAAATTTAATGCTAAGGTCTTACCATAAGACAGAAACAAGATTAACATTTTAAGGTCGGCATTGCAAGTGCTGATTTTAATAAACTAGTCTTTATTTATGTCCATAGGCTGTAGCAAGTGGCCGGGACTCCAGGTAAATATTTCGCTTTTTGCAACCCTGGCTCCGACTAAACTATAAGATTAATATGGACTATTAACTGGAATAGATTAGCTTTATTATTATATTTTTATATAGCTATATTTTTTATTGTTTTTGTTTTTCTGTTCATGTTATTATCTGTTATGAAAGTTTAAGAAAATAGGAAAGCTATAGAAATAAAAGTATATATTTAGTATATATTTCAAAATATATATATATGCATTTTTTGCTTATAACATAACACAGTTTATATAAATTTACAATAACAAATAAGGCATTTTAAAATAACTCATGTTACTCTCTTTGAATATGAAAATTTGAATATGATCCCAGATGTCATAATAGTTTGAATTAATTGTAATTAAAAAAATAGAAGTGTTTCAACATTTTCAATTTTTGGAACTTTAAACTCCCACTCACTTGTTGTTGAAAATGTGCATAAATGTTGTTGAAGATGAACATAAATACACTTTAAACTCCCACTCACTTGTTGTTGAAGCTGAACATAAATTTTGCCAAATTAGCTTTATACTTGTCTGTGTTGAATAGCAAGAGCCATTTTATTGACCAATCTACTGCTTTGTTGGTGTCATTTTGCAAGAAAGCAGCATTTTTGTTAGATTTGAATAATCCCATAATTTTACAATAATCAGCCTATATTTTGATGTGGTTAGTGATATTATCAGAAATATTGTTAATAAAGAGGACAGAGGACAAATATTGTTAATAAAGAGAACCTTGTAGTACCCCGCTTGTAACACTTTTTCATTTGGGTTCATGGTAATCAATTACTACTCTTTGTCTTCTATTGGTGAGGCCTTGTGAAATCCAATTGAATAATGACCCACCAATGCTGTATGCTTTGAGTTTATACAGAAGTTGACGGTGTGATACCTTATCAAAAGCTCTACTAAATTCTCTTACTTTAAATAGATTTGTGATGCAGCCTCTTTTGTTCATTAAACCATGTTGCTCTTTAGTAATAAGGCCATTTTTTTTTGCAGAAAAGTTTATAATTTGGTTATGTATGATGCTCTTGAGGGCTTTAGTTTGATATTATTGTTCTGGACATTTTCTTGAAAATTGGCATAGCATTTGATCATCTCAAGAGGTCTGGAACAATTTTTTAAAGCAATTTATGGTAAACTAGTGTAAGAGGGATAGTGAAGGCAGTTGCATATAATTTTAGAATTCTCAGATAAATCGATTCAAAACTCATTGACTTTTAAGGTTCTTTAAGGCTCTCCAGCCTGGGTCGGACATCAGTGAGTTTGTTATTGTAATCATTTATGTTGCAAGTTAAGTTGATTTTTTATTTAAACTCTGGCAGTTTGTTATTTGCCCTTTCTAAAGCAAATGCAGATTATATGTAATTGTTGAAAATACTTGGTAATAACACTTCGTCTGTGGTTATATAGTTGATTTTATTTTCTAGTGATTTAAGAGTCGTTTTTTATAAGAATGAGGCAAGTTGAAATAGTTAAAATAATTCTTATCAGCAACTGATATATATATATATATATATATATATATATATATATATATATATATATATATATATATATATATATATATATATATATATATATATATATATATATATATATATATATATATATATATATATATATATATATATATATATATATATATATATATATGTATATATTTATTTATTTTTTAAGTTTTTGAATGTTTTTTTGTTGATAACAAGTCAAAATGAATAAACAGGGGGGTCTAGATAAGTTTGGGGTGTGTTGGAAAAATTAATAAACATCCCCTTCCATGTATTAAGCACCTAAGAGTAATATTGTTTAAGAAGCAGTGGCGAATTGTTTTAAGGCTGATCCCAAAAGATTTTTTAATCATATGAAATATAAACAACATGTTAACAACACACTTAAGAGTCATTTTTTTGTAAGAATGAGGCAAAATTAGCAACTTAAAATAGTTGAGTTATTTGATTTTCTTGAAAATTTTAGGGATATCTTTAAATCATTTCATAAGAAAAACCTAAAAATTTGAGCCAGTAGTTCAAAGTGGTTCAAAAGTTATTGCAGTTTAAAGTTTCATAAAACGTTGACTAAGTCATTTTTCATGTTTCAAGTTTTCCATCTTTGGATGTAGCAACTTCATGCAGTTAAAAAAGTTGTTTGAAATAAGAGGAAGTACTGAAATAAAAGGAAGTGCTGAATTTTTATAAACGAATGTAATATCAAGTTTTATACATTAAGGAAAAAAAATTAATTTTCAAAATATCTGCCTTTACCCAAAACTACCCCAGGAGCGCTCAATAACGCAAATTCTGTACTTTTGAGCACCAAGTCTCTAGTTAATCAAGGCTTATATTAGTATGTTATAAGTTTTTAAGAAAGAAAAACTGTTTTTTTTTACTGAAAACTTTTTTTTACAGTTGAACTAATTTAAAACTCAATCTTAGTCTAAAAAGCATGTCTCAAAACCTCACCTGCTTTAAAAACGATAAAATTTATACTAACTTTGAAAAGCAAAATATCGATGTGCCACCAAGCTATTGAATTATAGCTGTTTGAAAATAGTTTATACACCTATATACTTTCAATAAATTAAAAGATTTCAATGGGTGGTTTTGCTTAAATGAAGATATCTTTAACATAAAATAGCTTTTGACAGAAAAAAAAAAAGCTGCTGTTAGAATTGGTAGCTATTTAATAAATCAAATTTTTAATTTTGGTTGGTCACTGGCAGTTGTTTAATATTTGAAATTTGTTTCTTTGTGAACCCTGAATTTAAATATCTTACTTATTTTGGTTATAAAAAAGTAGATTTATGTTTAAATTAAACTATTTAATACCTTTAAAAAAAAAAAAAAAAATCAGTGCTGCTGATAAGATAGGGGTGGGGGTGGGGTTGGGCAAAAGGGACAGTTTGTTCTTATTTGCGAGGCAGCAAATATTCAAGGGGTGCAAAATATTAATTTTTTCATTAATTTTCATATTATTATAATATTTAAAATACCATTTCTATAATATATTTTTATTATTATGCATAATTTAACATTATATATATATAATATAATGGTCCGCTATTTTTTATGATACAATTCATGAAAAATCTCACATAGTGGTTACTTATAATTCGACTATATTTATAATTCGAAATCTAATTTGTGTAAAGCATTAGAACATTTTTGGATGTTTCGTGGTTTATGATTTCTATAAATTTACAAATATTCTTAATTAATTGCTATCAAAATGCCTAATAATTAAAATTTTTTATAAATGTGTTAAGAAGTTTTTTAATTATATTTTTTATGGGATATTTCTGGATTGTTATGTAATATAAATTTACATGAAATTTGTAAAGTGCAGAGTTTGATTTGAAGTGATAGAAGAGTTTGATTCAGAGTCAAAATATAATTAAACAATCATTTGATAACATGACTGAATATAATAATGTTGATTATACAAAATATTGTTTATTTTCTAAAGGTTCATGAGAGGAACATTTAAGATCAAGACAAACTGGATTATTTAAATGCAATGAGTTAACACAAATGTTTGCTGATGGTTTTACCAAAAAACATGTAATTGAGTCACAAATGCATGTAGAACTAAGTAATGAACAAGTTGTATGTGCTTTTCACAAACAGAAGTATGGCAGATACTAGTATATATTAAAGCAATGCTTACATCCATCCCATGAAGCTCCTCTGACAAATAAGGGAACAGACAAACAAAAAGATCTCCGAAAAGCAACAAAAGACCAGTATGAAAATATTATGGTTCTTTTCCAGTCTCTGGTCAGCTCTGCAGAATTCACAGAGACAGCATATTTCTAAAGCATGGCCAAATAGAGAATGATTTTTTCATCTTCGAAAAAATAGTTAACTTTTTTTTTGAGCTACGCAATTGATTTGACCAGGAAGCAAAAAAAGGAAACAGGAGCACTTATATTTAAACAAAAGATGTAAACTCGTCAAAAAATGAATATGGATCTTGCAAAATATTTCCTAAGTTATATATTTACATCAGGTCTTATTCAAGATATAGCTTATGGGACAAGCAAAATTACTTTAACCGATGAACATCAACGGAAACATTATTTACATACAACTTATTTTTCTAGCATGCCAAATTCAGGTATTTGATATTAAATATGATGTGTTTGATGATTTCTGATGCCATTTGCAAATCGATCATATTGTATGCTTTGACGCACAGCTTCTTATGCCTTGTTTTTAAGAATGAGTCTTTAAAATATCAATAGATTATTCTCAATATTATTTTATTTTAATTTGAATAGTTATTTTCATTCCGTTGATATAGCTGTTCTAACAATGGCATAGTGGCAAACCATAAACTCATATCAAAACTATTTTAAATCAATAA